ATGTGTGTTTTACAATCTCGGGGCTATGCTATTTATAAAGAATGGGTAGATATGTTTCCTATTCTTTTGTCGATTGAATTGAACAAGTAGCCTTTGAAATATCAGTCCACTCTCCAACCTTTTTCCCTATTTTCTCTCCAACCCACATGATTGCTCAACTGCTTGAAATTATCTCCTACTTGAAATTGTCTCGTACTCTCTAGGACTTCACTTAACTGTATGATGCTATCCACCCAACTCAACATATTTATTAATTGGTAGATTCTATGGTACCCTTAAGGTACCGTACATTTGTCCACATGGACCAATCAGAACGATGCAGTAGAATATTTAAATCTAAATTAAAATGATATAATGAGTTGGACCATCAAGTAAATGGTAGGTATATTATGTACTACCTCCGTCCCCCTAAGTTTGGGACAAGAGAAGATGTCACGTTTATTAATAAAAGTGGGTTTTTGTGGTTGGTATTGAATTGATAAAGTAAGAATAAAGTAGGAATGATTTAGAACCACACAAACTTTATCAAATAAGGTATGAGACAATCTTAGTAGGATAGACCGAAAGGTAAAACGGGACAATCATAGCGGGACCGAGGGAGTATTAGTTATACACGTATTATATTTGCTTATATAGTTATTATCTATGTTAGGTCCCTTAGATTTTGATGTTTAATGTAATAGTTTTGATGATGTCACCCCTTTTTATTATTCCTGTATTAGACTAGTCTACTACTTATGTTCTACTTTGTTTATTTGTGGTTAAGTACTCATAAAAAGCACTCATAAAAAGCAAAGAGTACTAAAACGAGAAGTTAAATGTACCATAAAACAAAAAGAAAATGATCAAAAAGAAAAAGGTACGAAAAGAGTTAACTGGTATTCATTGTTAGGAAACCTACTGGAAAAACCCAGATTTTGACAGTCAGCTCCCAACCAGGTAGCCAGCTGAAATCTGGAATTCTAACAAGGCATTTGAAATCCAATTCTCTTTTCTCTTAACACAAAACACTTAGACAAAAGACCAACTTGCAGACGAAATAACAAATTGTTAAAAAGTAAATTTAGAAAAGATTTTTAATCAAATTATAAATTTCTTATAACTTTATTTTACAAAAGCAAGTGTTCGTTATTTTGTAAAGGAAGCATTGAAATATCACTCAGCTTTATACCAGTTTCTACGCGTGAAAATAAAGATAAAATATCTTTTATTTTGCATTGAAATGTGTAAACAAGTTGAGCTGAAGATTGTTGATCTGTGTCACTACGTGACAAAGACAAACCATGCTGCCTCAGTCAAGTGGAAAAAAGCAAGTAGATCAAGCTACGGTCAAGATTCATTTTCTTCAGCCAACGGTGGAGATGCAATGATCAAGTCTATAAATACAGAAGGAGTGTGGGATTACCAAGTGTGGTAAAACGAGAGGAGCTAAGTGGATAGAAGGAAATCATACTACACGAAGAAATCCAGCCAGCTGATTTCCCTTCTACACTTCGGTTGCCACCCCACTCGTCTAATACTCTTAGGCTAGTTATAATTCATACAAATCAATAGAGCTTAGACTAGTTGGTAGTTTAGCAATACACCTATGTATTCTAGACTAGTGTTAGACATTCTGGAGGGCTTGGTGATCAAATCCAGAAGGTGAGAAAGGGTAAAGACATGAGTAGCTCTTGGCAAGTCAATGCCATTAGTGAAAAACCTTAGGAGGACTGAGTAGCTTGGAACGGTGTTCAAGTTCCTTGTGAAAAACCTCACAACCTACGCCTGGTCCAAGGGTAAATTGGAACTAGATGTAGGAAGATTACACCACCTCTGAACCAGGATACATCGTGTGTCATCTTTTACATTCTGCTCCTAACTAATATTCAGTACTCACTCACCTTCACAACCGCACAGAAAAACAACTTGCTCACTAAAACTGTCCAGTGAACTTTCCCAGTTCACTGTGAGTCATCTCCTTGTTATCTGTTCTTCAAAGTGACCTATTTCCATTGGTCTAAATCCTTCATACACTTGTGTTAGACTAGTTCTAAAGTCAGTTGAGTTGTTAGAGTAAAGTTCATTGCTATACTTTAACTAAACAAACAGAAAAACTATTTCGGCAGCCTGCTCCTCGCGGGATTATGGATGGAGCCTGGCGAGGGGAAGGAGGTCTCCCGTTAGGATCAGGAATAATACCTTGAAACGCAGTCGTCAAGGTCTCCACCGCCCTTTGAAATGTTGCGAGGCTCGCTAACGCCTACGCTGGATCCACATTCAGAATGTTATGTCCGGTACCCGGCGTCTGGAACTGTGGTGGACGCACCGCCGTGCGCCTGGAATTCCCCGCGTCGTGAATCTGGTTTCTCAAATCACCTTGAGCGGTGACATCGTCGTTGCGCCTCCGGAAATCACTCCGTCGTGACCTCAAACCTTCGCCTTCGATCATGACTTGGTTGTAACGATCCTCGCCTTGATTGCTACCAATGCAATTATGGCTGCTTGATCCAACCATGATTCTTCGTAGATTCAGCTCTCAATGAGAGCACCAAATGATGGAGTTTAATCCAACTACGAGAGCTAAATATACGTAAAGTATAGAAATAATATCGAAAACAATATGGCAATGTAAGGCAGTATTACTCTTATTCCGGAAAACCAATTGTGGATCCCTTGGTAGGGTGTTTACATGAAGTATTTATAGAGATTAGGAAGTAGAATTATGGGAGGAATCTAATACAATAAATGCTTAATGAATGAACTATATTCTTTCTCGAAATAGAATTCCCTTCCTGCTTTATTCTCACGCCATAATCCTTTCTTAGTTCCGGTTGAGTCCTGCCGGTTGCCAAATATCTATCATCGAATGATAGCTTGCCACGTAGGCCCTAGGAATATCCCGGCCTCACTAGAACTCTGCCCAGGCTCGAGGTCTACTGTCCAGCCCAGCCTGGCTGTGGGTTCCTATCGTGGGCCTGATTCCTAATGGGCCAATCGACTTATTCAATTTAAATCCCGTCAAGGGCTGATCCTGTTTATGGGCTAATCCTGTTAATTAGACTGATCCCGTCAAGGGCTGATCCCGTTTATGGGCTAATCCTGTTAATTAGGCTGATCCCGTTTATGGGCTGGGTTACGTAATTGGGCCATGGTTAGACTCCATGGAACCATCACACATATTCCGCATATATATGATATTGCATTTATTCTTGATCCTCGTTATAGACTTAGTGCTTTGCAACAATGTTTACACTACTATTAAGCTTCTTCTTTTTTGGTCCATTTCCTTTGTACGAAGATAAGCACATAGATCCTAAACAAGAATACAGTGAGGTTAGTGATTTATTTTATTAATCATTTAATGAGTTTCATGCACAATATAGTAACGCAACCCCTCCCCCGACACGAACATCTTCATCTAAAGAAAAATCATTTTTGAAATCTACATTTGGTAATATTTTGGAAAAAAATAAATCAAGTCCCGTTGTTGAACAAAGCTCAATTAACGAGCTTTCTATGTATCTAACATTTCTTGTAACCAAGCATTCCAGCCCAGCTGGTTGCGAGGTTACCATGCCTAGCGAAAGGTCTCGAGTTCGAAACCCGCTAGGCACATAAGGGTTGGAAACTCAATGGAGTGAGTTTCAACCCTGATTACTCCAGGCTCCCCCAGCCTCCTCCCCCAGCCCCCCCCTGGAGTAAAAAAAAACATTTCCTGTTGACTATGAAGAATATGATGACTTTGATGTTCTAAAGTAGTGGAAGGATAAAGAAAGAACGTTCCCGAGTTTATCAAAGATGGTTAAGCAAGTGCTAGCAATGTCGATATCAACAGTTGCCGTGGAACAAAAATTTAGTGCGGCCGGCAACGTGCTAACGGATTATAGAACGAGATTAAGCGCAAACTCTCTTGAGACGCTTGTTTGCTTTCACGATTGGTTGAAGGCCTACCGTAGAACTCAAGAACTTAGCATCGCTCCCACCCGCCACTTTATGGAGGAAACAACAACCGACGGTGGCGCAGATTCCGATTGAATGATATTTATTAGAAAATGTATTTTATGTTTTAAATTTTTCTCAAATCTAAATTGGAGTTCATATTTCAAATAAACATACTTTAAGTTTTTTATATGTAGCACTTCTTAAATTAATTTATAAACAAGCTGCTACCAACCAAATTCTCCAAAAGTGGTTTGTTCCGGGTTCCGGCCTTCCGTGTAAGGAACTAAGGATAGGGAGAAACCAAACCGTAACTACAAAACTGGATTGGGAACCACATGGTCAGAAGTTCAGAACCGGATAACCAATTCCACTTATACGGGCTCCAGTCCAGAACCGCAAATCCAGGCACGTAGCTCGATTCTTTACCCGCTCAGTTCTGGAACTATGTCCAATCCTACTTCTCATCAAAGATTCAGTGGTGTAATTGTGTAAATATCACACGCCATACAGAGACACGGAGTATGTGGTACTATAATTTTAGATGAGTCCCGCTTTGTGTACACCCCGGGTTACACACCGATCAAATTGTCAATATATAGAGTTGTCTAGACCAGAATTTTAAACGTTTTAAGAGTTTTCTATATCGACATTTTAGACCGAAATTTTTCATAAGTGTCGGTGATACAGACAATTTTTTTTTTTTTTTGTCTGTGAGAAAATCGATTTTCTTCATAAATCGCTTCTCAATTTGTCTGTCTAGCCGATCAAATTATCTTTACACAGATAATTTGACCGGCGTGTAACCGGACGTGTAAAACTTGATGTGTACAAAAGGAATTTTCCATTTGAGATGGTTCTCCGATCAAAGTATCCTTCAAATTTTGAAGATCATCCTAGACACGTTTGGCTTGTTGCCTTAATCACACTGCTTGAGTTTTGATTTATTTGGATCTCGACTCTACTGTACTTGAACAGTTGAACTCAGTCGATTATCAGTTATCACTGAGGTTATGCAACAAACAAAAATTTTTGCACAATAATGCTCTACTGTGCCCATCTAAATTTGTATCAAGCAAACAAGAACAATATGGAAATACCTCATAATTCTTAAACTCAACAATCTCATAGAACACAATTTATCCACAAATCCAGAATTAAATAGGAAGAAAGAAGAGATGATGACATTGCACTCGATCTTAACCAAGTCTCAAATCAACAACTAAAATCGTAAAATAAGAAAGAATGGTAATACTATCAAAGAAATCGGACGCACTATTGCACACCACTCAACTTGGCCCAATCTACAAACTGCATCCCACCATATATGTTATTGGCAAATCTTATGCCAACCGTGAAGCCCAACGCAACAGGCGGAATCCGTTTTGCCATTGGTGATGCTTCCACAACATGTTCCAATCCATTTATGATTTGGTAACGAGTGTTGGAAGATATCGCGAGGAAAACACCTGAACAAAGGAATGTTTGGTACAACTGTTATGAGGTGCTGAACTCTCTAAAGAGTGGTGAGTTGTGTCGCGTGAAGAATGTTAGTTTTGTAACTTATGGATGAAACTTAAAGTCGTGATAATGTAGAAATGTTTAGTCCGGAGGTGCAGTGGATTTTTTAGGTGAATAGTTGATCAGTTTGCCTTGCAGGTGAGTTAAAGCCTTTTTTAACTTTCGTGTCTTCTCAGTTCTTTAATTGCTATAGCTTTCTAAGGTGCAACACTCTTTGACTCAACCAAATGAGCTTTTGAAATACTAGTACTAGTAAGTGTTGACTTAAAAGCCAATACCGAACTGGACCAACATCTACGAAAGCTTTATCTTTAAAAGATATACGGAGTAATATAGATATAAATCATATAATATAACCTACCCCACAGTGCAGCACTTTTCACTAAAGGAGGAACGGGTATATCATCTTCAGACTTCTTGATACTCCTGTAGTTATTACATCACCAAAGAGAAACAAAAAATAAATTACAAGGACAAGAGAGTGTATATCAGTTAGTTCATTAAATCCAAAGGAATGTAAAGATACAGAAGAGAAGGTAAAAGTAAAGTATGAAATGTTAATCAAAGCTATCAGTAAAATTGATACTTGATAAAAAGAGAGAAGATATTTCGTTTTTAGGTTATCGCATGAGAAGTGAGAACCTCAAAGGTTTATAGCTATATGTCTTCCTAATTTCCTAGATTGTTTTCTATGGGAAATAACTCAATTAAGTCTTTCCGGGTAAGTCTAAACTCATTCAAGTTAAATCAACACACTTGCAACCTAATCATCATGTTACCTAAGAATCATTCCCAGCGATAAATGTGACAGTAAAACATTGCAAATCTATGACATAATCTATATATGAATAAAAAATACGGAGTAGCAAGTTAATAATCCTAGAAGGCAATTACCAAATGAGAGTTCTACCATCTAATCCCAACTATGTTTTTTCAATTGAGCATACTAGTATCAAAACATACCTCTTAGCGTTCATAATCACATTTGCTATTCCTTGACCAATGAGGCCGCACACGAATCCAACTGAGCCATACAACACTCCCTGGATTCAAAATGAGAAGGTGAAACTTCTTTATCATCCACTTATCAGACAAAAACAACAAGTTGGCACCTAGAATAGATCTAGAGTTTCCAAATGAATAAACTGATTATTAGAACAGTAAAAATGTAAAAACTTGAATTACAGATGTCATTAGAAGTGATCTCGACCTTATAAAAGTAGGTGGCAACCCGCTGCTGCAATGAAAATCTACAACCTGGCCTCTCAGCTTCAAAAACACTGCATCAAAAATTCAAAATTACATCAACAGTGGAGATAATTCATATTACTTTAATCCAGAAAACTGCTTTTTGAATAGGTAAAAAAATAAATAACTAAATAAATAAATGGATGGATGGATGGATAGATAAATAAATAAATGCAAGCAAATAAAAGCTATGGTAAAGACTAAAAGATCAGAGCCTGCTCCAAATATATTAATGTTACCTCCACCCTGTTTTAGAATATCTGAGGAATACTTTTTGGGAAGGAGAGTCTATAATGGCTCATTTGAGTCCCTTAGAATGTTAGGCAAAGAAGCTAAGGAGTAAAATATAGAGCAAATTTAGTAAGCACACCAACATGCTCAGTATAGAGCATGCTGGCATGATGAAGGTTGGGGATTCTTTTATCTTACAAAATGGGAAGATCTACACCATTCATCATGCCAACACAATTATTTTAGATATTTCTGAAAACTCTATTGAAGTACATATGTCTACTTGTCTACACTATCTAGACAGAAATGTCATAGTTCATAAACCTAACTATATGTATAAAGAAATTAGAAGTTTCTATTGAATTTGATTTTCATTCGTATTTTGCAAGGTAAAATCAAATATTACAAAATCACTTCCCAAGGCATTTTTCTCCCTTTCCCTAATATTTTATAGTTCCATACATAGCCTACAGCCACAATCCCAGATTGCTATCAATCCCACTATAAATGAGTGATTCAGAGATATATGAAGATATATATCCTAATGCAGGGCACCTGCTGGGGAGAGATCCGCATGCATGCTGCAGGCGTCCAAACAATCCAGTTGAAACTGATTTCTTTCCGAACCGGACATAAGGAGCCAGCATACCAACTAAAGCAATGTCAACAACAATGCCAACCAAAAGATCAGCAGCATACAATTCAAACTCTGCCCAGAAGTCCTTTCCTCTTTTTTGAACTTCAGCAAAAGTCGCACAACAAGAGTCTATCACAATCTGCAGTATTAGAGCATATATATCAGTATTAAAATATGGTTGGTGAAAACCAAACCAAAAAATGCAAAACCATTCTCAAGCGACATTTGATTAACCTCTGTTCCAACTTTGAATAGAAAAGAAGGATCCGCTAGCATTCGATCCAGGGACGGATCCAGGATTCTGAGTCAAGGGGGGCGAAATTTTTCATTAGTGTAGCGGGGCGAATTTTTTTTGATAGTGTAGCGGGGCGATTTTTTTTCCCAAGTATAGCGGGGCGAAATTTTTTCGCTACTGTAGGGCTATGCGGCTATTTTTATTCAAAAAATGACATTAATACATGCACATCCCGAACGACATTTAAATCTATTACATTCTAAGTTTAGACGATGACAAAGACATCAACCAATACATTTTTAATAACTTCTACATTGTTTAACCTCATGAATCGGTTATTGAATTGTAATTGTTGTCCACCAAGGAGGGTGTTCGTGAGTCATGACTCATGAGAAGTTTTCTTAATATTACAATAGTAGTATACTAGTATGTATGAGATTGTTATTTATAGAATAATATGCACCACATACACACACACATATGGTGCATATTATATTTTAATATTTTTATTAATTCTATAATAAATTAGAGTTTATTATCCATGCAATAAATTATTTTTAGAAAGCAAGAAGTAAATGAATTATGTAATCTAATGTCTATAAACATTTATATTTTGGATTCATTTCACGTGATCTAAAAGTTGTGTAATTAGTGTGTCTGTTATTTAATATTGTTTGATATATGTTTTACGAAATCCAGTACTTGTTATTTAATAAAGATAATTAAACATTACAAAACTAGGAATTCTTATATAATAAGTATCCTAAATCTTAAATAACGAGTTACTCTATTGTTTATTTGTTTAAGTTATGTAAATTAGTTTAGATGTTTCTTCTTTTAAATCTCCAATTAAGTACTACGTATTACATTATGTAAGACTATATACTAATTTTGAAAATTAAAAGTTAAGGGGGGCGAATCTAATTAAATTATGAAAGTTTTATGAAAACATTACATATATGGTAAAAAAAATTGAATGTCCAAGGGGGGCGGTCGCCCCCCGCGCCCCCCCTAAATCCATCCCTGATTCGATCCCTTAGCATTGAGCAATATCTCATTAAAAATCCGAGAGGCCAAGCTGCAGCCTGGACATCATCAAGTCATAGAGGTGTAACTGTGAAGGATTCTCCAGCTAAACATAGAGTAACATATAAAAGTATAATTCTGAAACACTTTCACCTGCAAATCCAAGTACCGAGTAAGAATGAGCCTGCGAAGCCCCATAGCCTTTGCAATCTCCAACATATCATCGGGCAGATTAGCGCAGCGCTTCTCAACCTCCCTCATAACGTCCTCGAACTTCATTATCGGTCCAAACTCATCTTCATCATCGTTACCCTCATTTTCTCCTTCACCGCCGCCGCCATTTCCGGAGGGAAATCGTCCGTTTCCTCCACTGTTACCGTCATCTAGCTTCGCTTCTTCCTCTCCACCACTCGGCAAGGTTGGAGAAGCTTGTACGGACTCCGATCCAGCAGTACATTTGAATCTCTGAACTCGTCCAGTATTCCGGAAGGAAAGGTTTAAGGGTACAAAGTCGGGGGATTTGGAGCTGCAACCGAAGACGTGGAATTGGAGAATATGGTGTGGAACTGGGCATTGCTGGGAAAGAAGATGGAGGTTTTTTCGGGGGCTGAAAAGCTTCGAGAAATTGAAGCTGCTGGAGGCGGGAATCGACATGGCTTCCCACTAGGGTCTTGGTATGGGCTTGAATCAACTAGATTTTGACCAATGCGCGGGATATTAAAATTAAAATGTAATAGTGATAAGATATTATTTTTAAATGTTATTTGGTCGTGTGAAATGTATGCAAATTATCATAGACGTGACATGCATAACAAGTTATAATTAAAGACCGGTTAGTGAAAACGTAGAGTTAGGTAGTACGTCCGTTTTGCAATAAGTAGAAAAACTAAACGTTATATAGAGTTTCACAATCTACACTTTGCAAAGAAACTTTCTCATAAACTACATTATATTTGTGGTATGGTCAGTTGGCTGGCATCTCCACCGCAGATCAATGTCTTCAAACCCTTAAAATTTGTTATCCTTGACATTACAACATATAATTGACCATATGTGATGACTGACTTTTTCAATGTCATAATATGCTATGAAATATAATATAAAATTGGTTACCTATTACTTTTTCAAAAATAAAAAAAATATAAAATATACTACGTATTAGTGTATTACATATAAAAACACTTGCACTTTAAGATATAAAATCCCCCGTATGACAAAGATAGATTTTCCCATACATTCAACACTATTTTAACAATATAATTCCAAATATCAGCCCAAAAGTCCAATTATCAAGCTAACCCAGTCCAACTACCCCATTTAATATTGCATATTAAATGCCCAACCAACCAACCCTAAACATGACATATATAAACCGTGCATACCCTGCGCCGCTTCATTCAACCTCCGTACACATGTAGAAAACCGCTAATAATCTGATGGCCTCTCATACATTCAACACTGCCTATACACTCGGATAAACTTCGTTTACCACCTCTCATCGAAGATTAACCCCCAATCAACACTGCCTATGCTGAAATCGGGAAATCAGTGCTATACGGTGGCATATCAGTTCAGATGGTACAATAGATGAATAATCAATTCCTTATTCGAACTTTGGAACTTCGATTGTGGGTGAAGAAGTTTCTACGGTGGCTGGCGTAATTCCTTAGCGGACCATTATAATTTGTCAAACCATGTCCTCACTACTCTCCCGATTTGGGTATATCCTATAACTCTCCTTCGTGCACATTTAAAAATTACTATTTTCTCTTACTTTTGATTTTGTGTGCATATCATCAATTTCTATCACTTTTTAGATTGGTTTGTTGATGTTTTTCGTGTTTCAAAAATGGAGGTGGTTGTTTTCTTTCTTGCTTGTGCAGTATGTGACACCGCTCCCGAACGTCCTTGAAAATTCGATTTAAAATTCAAAGTTTATGTATTGGATTTCTGATTTCCAAACATTTTGTGAAACAATTAATGTTTTACGTAATTAATGATCGATTAGTGTACTGTTCGAACTCGTATATTAGTGTCGGGCATGCAAATACTATTTGGGTCTTATTAATAAATAAAGGAGCCCAACATTATCCAAATAGTGATACATAATCTTTCAAAACAATCCGAGTAAGGTCGGACGGCCCAAACGTTATTTTGAGCCCAACCCGCTAAAATAGCAAGTATTCGAGAATGGCGTTCTAGACCCACTCGGGAGTGACCCACACGGTTAGTAGCCCATTAATATGTATGACAAATGTCAAATAAGTGATCGAATGATTAAAGAAGAATACCAATGCCTACAACCCTATCGTTGGCATTTTTGAGCTAAATAATGGAAGTAGGATTTTCCTTCTATAACATCCATCAAGTAAATTATTGGGATGAGCCTACACATATTGGAGATCAATAATGTGATTTAGGAAGTTGACTTGTTCTAAATAAATTAGGATGAGTACAAAAAGACATCTTTTGACAAAGATAAAACAATAGGACCCATTTTCCCCATTTTTGGAAGTATTGGTAGATAGTTTGGATCCCAAAATGATTGGGATTAATTGGGAACCACTCCACATGATATTAGTACCTGCAAGACAAATAAAAATGGGTTAGGAAACTTACCTTGGCCGACCACCATGGAGAGGAGCTGCACAAGACTTGATAGGAATCAAATGTTGGGCCACCATCCCTATTTTCGCACAAAATTGTGTGCTGGTTGTCTCCACTCATTATGGGAGTTGTACTCGACCAAATGAGGTGTATAAGGTGTCCTTGGATAGCATTTGAAGTCTAGTATCTCAATTGAGTGGTGTTTGTTCGAGGAGAGAGAGCTTATCTTACCAGAATCGAGCTGAAGTGAGTGGTGGTCTGTAAACTCGAGCTGTGAGAGTGCTGAGACTGTTTGGTTGATATATCGAGTTATACCAATCCAATTAAGGCGTGTGAGATACCCAAAGAAAGCTCTCAAGACGAGGAATCTGTGAAGGGCTGGTTTGAATCAATCGGAGTAGTGGAAGGCTTCCAAATCGTCCGAGCAAAACACAACCTCGCAGAGACGGATCTACTCTTCTAAAGTGAGTTTTAACCCCAAAACTTTACTTTTCATTCTCCAAATGATATGAACGATTGGTGGGACTATTATACACTAATCCAAGTGTATAATATGTCCTTATAAATTTATTTTGTTGATGTAAAGGTTAGATACTAACCTAGATGCAAATATTGGAAAACTAGGAATCGAGTTAGCCGGAAAACACCCGTTCTAGGGGCTGTTTTCGTATCAACGATTCGGATTTGAAATAGCAACTTGAGGAGGCTGTTTAGCACCCATTTTCAAGCAAGGAACTAGTTCCCAATCTTCCTTAGCCGAGGCTTTGGTCATTGGATCGAGAAGGAAGGTTTTAAAGCTCATTTGAGGTGAGGACCGACATCTAGTTGCTTACAACTTGTAGGTTATGCATGAGATTACCTAAATGCTTAAATCATGTTTTTGTGAATAAATATGCTTGAACATGATATGAATGATAAGTAATGGACTTGATCATGAATTGAAACCATATTGATGAATATGGAGTTATGTGAGATAAAGGTATGTTAATATGGTAAAATGACCTTTCCAACTCATATATGAATGTTATGTGTATGTAAATGTATAATTTCATGATGATGCTTAGCACATGGGAGGCTGCCACATATCTATTGATATGGAGGGGCTACCATTTATGATAAATGAGTTGTAGGAATAATCTTAATAGTATTGTGATGCTAGTTAAGGATTGTTCAAAACGTTGATAGAATTAAACTTAAGGTTTGAGTTGTTTGTGATGAACTTGAATAAGATTCAAGTGTCAAGTGTGATTGTATGAAGTAGGAGATCTATGGTGTGATTATATGAAGTAGGAGATCTATGGTGTGATTATATGAAGTAGGAGATCTATGGTGCGATTATATGAAGTAGGAGATCTATGGTGGGATTGTATGAAGTAGGAGATCTATGGGGTGAATACATGAAGTAGGAGATCTATGGTATGATTATATGAAGTAGGAGATCTATGATGCGAGTGCATGATGATGTACTCGAGCCTAACTCTAGAAATGAGAAGTTATATTAGGGTTGGACCCTATGTATTGTCGTGACTATTAGTCACGGGGTTTGGGAAATGTTTTATAACAACACGGGCCTTTGAGCCGACTACTTGACTTTATATAAAGTAAGTATGTATTTTGAAAGGGGTAATCTGGGATTACGGCCTATACTATATTATCACCCTATTTGAGGGTCTTGTGTGTGAAATACTTGTTGTATATCTATTAGATGTCTGCCACACCAGCACTTTATAGCCCTATAGAGTGCTGACCCCTTCGGGGGCGTCCCACCACCATTTTTCAGGTTGAGGCTAGAGCTTGCTTCCTGTGCTCGTTGCTCGAGAGATCATATAGGAGGGAAGACTTGGTTCGTGCTTCCTCCATTCTGTTTTTAAACCTTTCTAAACATGCTCATGGATATTTTACTATGGAGCCTGCGTGCTCATGAAATGCCTTGTGTGGCCCTTTTGTTTTAAACAATGTTTCCGCTGCGTTATGAATTACTTATTATGTTTGTTTATGGATGTATATGTGTGAATGATATTCAAGACGCCTTGTATAATATGAATGTGTTGGACTGCGGTTGACTATTCGTATTGTACGGCGGGTTGTTGACGTGTCCGGATAGGTCCGGGGCGTGACAATTAAGTTGGTATCAGAGCCTTAGTCCATAAACTTCATAATGAAGTCTCAAAATTCTCTTTTCAAAATGATTTTTGAAAACCATGAGCAAAAACGTTTTGTACTTAAGAACTTTTGGTGTTTGAGTTGCAAGGTCTCTAATTGTTAAGATGGCGCCCTTAACGATTGGTATGGCGGTGACTTGGCCCAAGAGATGTCTTAGGTGCCTATCTGTCAGTTGACATTTGAAACGAGTCTAATGACTCATTCTAATTATTTCTTTCAGCGATGGAGGGTGATGGTGGTATTATGAATAGGGAGAACTCGGAAGGGTTTGCACCGGGTGGAACCGGGCATGCCAACCGAGAAAAGCCCTTAGGACCAAAGGTGCACGAAACTCTTGAAGCTCAAATCGTGAGTGGTGGTCATGTTAAGACCAAGGAAGAATCACCTTGTTATGGCAAAACTGAACCACTCAAGGCTTCGGGTGACGAAGGAGATGATTTGAGTGATGAGGACCTTGATGGTGCACCCATTGAACAAATGGGCATGGTCATAGATTGGCTTCAACATGAACGTGTGAGGCTTATACAAAAACGCCAAGCTAGGCAAGCTGAGGGCATACCATTAGTAAGGAAAAGGAAGCGGGGAGACAACGATTCCCAAAGACATTCAAGGAGGACAAACGTTGAGGGTGACAAAACCTTCAGGGCGCAGACACTATCACTTGAGTGGAGTCGAGGCTTGGGTGGCCCGAACTCGAGGTCAAAAGGTCCGAGGGTACCTAAGTGCAACAATTGCAAGAAACACCACTCGGGTAGGGCTGAGCAAAACCCGATCCGACCCGAAAAACCCGATATTTTTTTCGGATATTATCCGAACCGAAGTGGATATCCGACCCGAAAAACCCGAAACCGAAAATCCGATTAGTATTGCGCCTAGACCGGGTGGCGGGTAGGGTTTGTGAAATCCCAACCCGACCCGCCCGAATATCCGAAATATATGTTAGTGTGTACTTTGAATATTTAAATTAATACTTATGTTCAATTATTTGTGTAATTATTTGTGCAATTTGTATTAAATTATTTGTGTAAATTGAATGTGTAGTGAACTAGTGTGTACAACTTTTGTTAAAGTGGCATTCCAACACTTTAACTATCCAATTATAATGTGTTTTGATATAGGGTTTTTTACATGAATATTACTAAAATCAAACTCATTTACATGAATTACTATGATTTCATTACTACTGTAGTAACTAGTCATATTTTTGCAAACCATCTTTATTTTAGTCATATTTATATAATTATTTCTTTGATATAACCAAAATATCCGAAATATATTAAATTATGTAGTGTGTACTTTGAATATGTTAAATTAATACTTGTGTTCAATTATTTGTGTAATTATTTGTGCAATTTGTGTTAAATTATTTGTGTAATTTGGAAGTTTAGTGCACTACTGTGTACAATTTTTGTCAAAGTGACATTTAAACACTTTAATTATTCAATTATAATTTTATTAAATATAACCGAAATATCCGAAACCCGACCCGATATCCGATAATATCCGACTTAAAAATATCCGAAATACCCGATTTGAAATATCAAAGGGTCGGGCCTAGTATTTAAATTAAAAAATCCGAACGGGTTTAGGGTTCACAAACCCGACCCGCCCGAACCCGACCCGTGCACACCCCTACACTCGGGTAAGTGTCAGGACCCTCCCAGGTGCTATCAATGCACAGAGGTCGGGCACACGAGAGTGAGTTGCCCACAAATTGTGCAAAACCAAACTTCGGGGTCAAGTGGTGGAACTACAAGAAATGAAAACCAAACCGAGGTTTCTCAAGGGAGCAGGGGACATGGGGGAGCAAGCACGAGCAACGCCCCATCCGTGAACCAAGGAAGGACCCAAGCTAGGGTCTATGCGATGACGGAGGCGGATGCTCAAGCTAACCTGGATTCCGTTGAAGGTAGTACCTCTTGTATACTTGTTTTTATCCTTAATTAGTCCATAAATTGAGGTTGCTAGTCGTTGGGATCATTGTACGAAGCTTTGGGGTCAAACGGAGCGAAATCGGGCGAAAGACGGCTGATTTCCGCCAACGCACACCAGGCTGGACCATACGCACGGCCGTGCGTTGTCCGTGCGTTGGTCCGTGCGTTGGTGGCAGTAGCAACCGGGAAGAAATTGCTATACGCACGGCCGTGCGTTGTCCGTGCGTTGGTCCGTGCGTTGGTGGCAGTAGCAACCGGGAAGAAATTGCTATACGCACGGACGTGCGTTGTCCGTGCGTTGGTCCGTGCGTTGGTGGCAGTAGCTCTGTTTTGAGGTTATAAGACACGCACGCCGTGCGTACCTCCTAGGCACGCCGTGCGTACCTCCTGGGCAGCCCAAAGTCGACTTTTTCGCGCCGTATTGCAACGTTAAGACCCGTTCTTGATCCCAAACATGTGTGTGAACATAATAAACCTCTCTAAATGTATAAGAATGGTAGGAAAGGTATCTCACATGACTTATAAATGTAGGAACACTAAAGATTAATGGGAAGGATGCGCGAATCCTTATTGATACCGGGGCGCAACGTTCATTTGTGAATGAAGCGTTCGCCAAGAGGTTGGGAGTGCAATCCGCACCATTGATGCAAACCTTAGTGGTATCAACACCACTAGGGGATGACGTGGAAAGAACTTGTTACTATCCATCTTGTGGGGTGGAGGTTAATGGTCAAACCTTGACGTGTGACTTCGTACCGCTGAGCATGGTTGAATTCGATGCAATCCTAGGGATGGATTGGCTAGAAACGAACCATGCTAGGGTAGATTGCTACACGAAGGTTCTTGAACTCGAAGGCAATGATGGGGAGACCCTACGCTTCGAGGGAGATCAAATAGCTGTATCATATCCGCCATGAGAGCGAAAAGTATGATGAGAAAGGGATGCCACGCATATCTAGCATACGTGGTTGACAAAACCAAAGAAGAAATGAACATCGATGATGTGAGGGTGGTTTGTAAGTATCCGGATGTCTTCCCTAAAGACCTGCCGGGGCTTCCACCTGATAGGGAGATTGAATTTGTGATCGAGGTCGAGCCCGGCACCAAACCAATCTCCATACCGCCATACCGTATGGCACCCGCTGAACTTAACGAGTTGAAAACCCAATTGCAAGAGCTTTTGGATAATGGTTTCATTAGACCAAGCCACTCCCCGTGGGGGGAACCGGTTCTTTTTGTGAAAAAGAAAGATGGGACACTTCGAATGTGCATCGACTATCGTCAACTGAACAAGGTCACAATCAAGAATAGGTATCCTTTGCCTAGGATTGATGACTTGTTTGATCAACTACGAGGAGCAACCGTGTTTTCAAAGATTGACTTGAGGTCGGGGTACCATCAATTGAAGATTAAGGAAGATGACATACCAAAGAGTGCTTTCCGCACAAGGTATGGGCATTTTGAGTTCCTTGTTATGTCGTTTGGGTTAACAAACGCCCCAGCGGCATTCATGGACTTGATGAACCGAGTATTTCATAAATACTTGGACCGATTCGTGATTGTGTTCATAGATGACATCTTGATTTACTCAAAGAGTGAAGAAGATCATGAAGAGCACTTGATATTTGTTCTTGAGACACTACGGGAGAAGCAACTCTACGCCAAATTTTCTAAATGTGAATTTTGGCTCAAGAAGATTGGCTTCCTCAGGCACGTGGTTTCAGGATCGGGAATTGCTGTTGATAACAAGAAGATAGAGGCCATTACCGAATGGGAGAGACCAAAGAACGTCAAGGAAATTCGTAGTTTCCTTGGACTGGCAGGCTACTACAGAAAGTTCATGGAGAAGTTCTCTGTTTTGGCATCACCATTGACGAAGCTCACACGTAAAGGAGCTAAGTTTGTATGGGATGACAAATGTGAGGAGGGGTTCATGGAACTAAAGAAGCGATTGGCCGAGGCACCGGTACTTGCATTACCCAAACAGGGTGTGGGGTACGATGTCTATAGCGATGCGAGCATCCAAGGGCTTGGATGCGTGTTGATACAGAATGGGAGGGTAATCGTCTATGCTTCACGACAGTTGAAGAAGCATGAGGTGAATTATCCTACTCATGACTTGGAGCTGGGGGCTGTGGTGTTTGCACTGAAGATATGGAGACATTATCTCTACGGGGAGACATGTCACATATACACTGATCACAAGAGCTTGAAATACGTGTTTACTCAGAAGGAGATAAACATGAGACAGAGACGGTGGATGGAGTTGATAAAAGACTACCATCTAGTGATAGAGTATCACCCAGGCAAGGCAAACGTGGTGGCAGATGCCTTGAGCCGGAAGAGCTCGTCTGGGGCATTGCTGGCTAATTTGAGGGCATTAAGAGCCCAACTGGAGGTATCTAGCGATGGTGCCTTATTGGCACAATTTGAGGTGAGACCTACTTTACTTGATGAAATCAAGAAGGGTCAGGAAACGGACGAAGAAATTATGAAGATCCGGGAACGCATGCAAGCGGGACCGGTGGAGGATTTCAGGGAAATAGATGATGGTCTCTTGTTATTTCGTGACCGAGTGTGTGTACCGTCAGATGATGAGCTCCGAAAGTCCATCTTAGAGGAGGCTCATTCATCGGCTTATGCCATGCACCCGGGGGGCACGAAAATGTACCGTGATTTGAAAGAAAGTTACTGGTGGTCTGGAATGAAGAGGGAAATAGCCGAGTACATCAGTCGATGCCTTACATGTCAACAAGTTAAGGCAGAACATCAGCATCCAGCAGGCTTGTTACAACCACTTTCCATTCCTGAGTGGAAGTGGGAACATGTGACTATGGATTTCGTGGTAGGTTTACCACGGACAATTCGGAACTACGATGCAGTTTGGGTTGTTGTGGATAGGCTCACAAAGAGTGCACACTTCTTGCCTATCAACACTACCTACCCACTTGAGAGGTTAGCCAAATTGTATACGGATGAGATCGTGAGGCTGCATGGGGTCCCAGTGACCATTGTATCCGATAGAGACCCACGTTTCACATCACGTTTTTGGCCAAATTTCAAGAGTCTATGGGAACGAGGTTGAAGTTCAGTACTGCTTTCCATCCACAGACGGATGGGCAGTCTGAAAGGGTTATACAAATCTTAGAGGATATGCTGAGGGCTTGTGCGTTAGAGTTCCAAGGAAGTTGGGACAACCACTTAGCACTTGTGGAGTTCGCCTATAACAACAGTTATCAGGCAAGCATCGGCATGCCTCCATACGAGGCATTGTATGGGAGGAGGTGCCGTACACCGTTATGCTGGGACGAGGTTGGCATGGCCAAACTCGAGGGTACTGAGTTGGTGGAGATCACCAAGTCAAAGGTGGAGTTGATTCGAGAGAGACTCAAGGCGGCTCAGGATAGACAAAAGAGTTATGCAGATAAGCGTCGGAGAACCTTAGAGTTTAAGGTTGATGACGAGGTATTCTTGAAGGTTTCTCCTTGGAAAGGAATCATACGATTCCAAACCCGAGGAAAGCTTAATCCACGATACATAGGTCCATTCAGAATTATAGAGAGGATTGGGGCCGTAGCATATCGTCTGCAGTTAACTCCTGAATTAGAGAAGATACATAATGTATTTCATGTATCCATGCTTAAGAAGTATGTGCATGATCCCTCCCACGTATTGGAGAAACCACCCGTGGAGGTACGTGAAGATTTGAACTATGCCGTGCAACCGGTAAGAGTTATTGACAGAAAAGTGAAGAAACTGAGGAGTAAAGAAGTTCCAATGGTTAAAGTCCTTTGGAAGAGTGACCGGGTCGAAGAAGAGACTTGGGAAACAGAGACTTTGATGAGGAAGCAGTATGCGTTCCTATTCGAGTAGAGCTGTGAATTTCGGGGACAAAATTCCTGTTAAGGGGGGGTGAACTTGTGACACCGCTCCCGAACGTCCTTGAAAATTCGATTTAAAATTCAAAGTTTATGTATTGGATTTCTGATTTCCAAACATTTTGTGAAACAATTAATGTTTTACGTAATTAATGATCGATTAGTGTACTGTTCGAACTCGTATATTAGTGTCGGGCATGCAAATACTATTTGGGTCTTATTAATAAATAAAGGAGCCCAACATTATCCAAATAGTGATACATAATCTTTCAAAACAATCCGAGTAAGGTCGGACGGCCCAAACGTTATTTTGAGCCCAACCCGCTAAAATAGCAAGTATTCGAGAATGGCGTTCTAGACCCACTCGGGAGTGACCCACACG